TGGTTCATCATGTGACTTTCTCATCACCACCAGTTTTTGGTGGTTATCAGTGCATTACAATGGTTCAAAACAGATATTAGTACTTCAATATGCTGGTTTATTAAAATCAGTTTTTTTTTATTGTGAATTTAAGTTAAGTCTGTAAAACCTAAAATGTTGCGATCATATTTTTTACGGAGAAGTTCTGGCAACCACAGCTGCCGGTATTTTACCGTAAATGTCACAGACTTTTTTTTTTACATTGTGATATTCAAAATTTTAAATTGCTTACTAATAAATATTTTAAAATATACGTACTATTATCAGTTACAATGGAATAGTTGCCTGCTTATATTTAGATCATGACTAAAGAGAATAAAAGAGAGATAAAGAGAATAAGTAGGCTACTAGTAGGCCTATGTAATTAATGACAAACAGGTGACAAATTGAATAGAAAGGAATTAGGATTCTAATAATTTGCATCTTCGCAATGGATAGTGAAATTCAAATATACTATTAGTCACTGAAATTACATACTAGTAAGTAAAACTACTAGTCACTGCTCTAGTCACTACTAGTAAATGTTTTAAAAAACATTATTTATTACATAAAACCATTATCGATTACAATGGAACAGTTACTTGATTCTATTTAGATAGACTAGTATAAAGGGAATAAATACGTACTAGTATGTAATCAATGACTAATAGATGAGATACTAGTTGGACTTGGAATAATTAGAATCTTTCAAATGGTCACTGAAATTATACACGCACACAAAAACACACTAGTAACCAAAAAAAGGGAATAAATGTATAAGCGGCTTGCCATACTGCACTGGGTTCGCGTTGTTCAAAGCGGCTTGTCATGTACCTTGAAGGCGATGTCGTAGAATTCTCCGCTGTTGCTGAGAGAGGGTCTGCTGGGATGCACCACTCCGTTGGACTGGGTCAGGACTTTCTTACCCTTCTCTTTATCGCTGCTCGGAGATGAGCTCGGTGTATTTGAACTCCCCTTCCCTTTGACCGCTTTTTTCCTCGACATTATGATTGTTTATTCCCAGTGCGAACGTACGACGAGTAATTAATGAGCAGCGAAACGCGCGCTCTGTGCACTTCACTTCTCCCGCTGTCTGTGTCTTAGTACGCGTGAATTAACTTTTCATCAAGTAGCGCGCGCATGACTTCAGGGCTCCGTCAAATAAAGAGTGCGAGCAGCGCACCTGCTTCTGTTCCTCGCGATGCCGCTCCGTTTTACGCAACTGCTCCGACAATTTGTTGTTGCTTTTTCAGAAAAGAAAAAGCGTCTCTGGACCCTGCCTGTGAAGCTGCTCCGTCAGTGTGAAGAGAAAATTCACCTCCTCACTCCTTTGAGCATCATAGTAGTGCACGCGCGCAGGGCGCGTTGTCAACAATCAGTGAAAGTGATGGCCACGCGCACACCGAGCGCATCCTCACTCTCCACTTGTTGGAATACAAAGCCCTTTTAAAGACGCAGTCTTATTTTGAACGCACATCAGGATTAGTTTAGGTTAAGATGACTTGACAATTAATGAACTCGAAGTTCAACGAAAAATTAAAACATTGAATGCAATCTTTTGGTATGGAAGGCCAATCTGCTACGGAGTAAAAAAAGTAATAAATACATAAAAAGGGAGTTGTGAATTTATTCTTACAATTTTGAGTTTGCTTCTCACAATTGTGTTTTTCTCTCTCTCTCGTTACTCTGAGAAAATAACTCAAATGCACAACTGTGAGAACAAAGACAGAATTGTGAAATAAAAGTCTGATTTAAAATTTTGTGTGTG